AAGACACTGCCTGGTAATCGTTAATAGGCGCCATCGTTATCAGTTGTCTGAATTCTTCGAAAGTGCAAGTCAAAGAGATCCGCCAAAAAATATACGGTAATTTTTTTCCGCGATTCTGCAAGAATTTCGAGATGCTTGCAACTCGCACGTGAGATTTTTTAGGTGCGTAGTAAAATAGCTTATCGAAGCACCCTACCTTAATAACTTCATTTAATCGCGCAAAAGCACCAACTGAAAAAATTGCCATGATAGACCAATTTGGCCTTCATTTGGTTCTTTGGAAGATCATTTTAGGGGTTTTGGAGGCAACAAATTGGCGCTCCTCCCATTTTCGATGGCTGCGAACCTTACGTTAAATCCACTGAATTTTTAGCAGATTCCAGTCTAACTACTGGCTAAGGGGTCGTGCGGAACGAGAGCCACACCCTTCCCCCCCCCGAATTCCCTACTTGAAAAGCCGGGTTTTCATTAGGATCTAAAATTTCTCTTTTGGGTCAAATAAGAAGAAGCTGAGATAGTTAAGAAGAAACAAACCTCAGGATCCTTGGAAGCAAATACTGAGCACAGTTCAGTAGTGTTGCAAAGGAACTGTTTGCAGGCGTTATTCTCAAGTGTAGACGGAGCAACTCCAGTCTAAAATATGGATTGTTAAGGCCGAGTTGTGGACTGGGAGAGAGGTCTCGACTACCTCAAGGAATTCGATGAGCTCCTCCTGCTCGACGTAGCTCATCTGCTCGATATCGTCGGCGAGTTTACGCCTTACGTCACTGGTGATTTCATGACCTTGAAGGGCGGAAACCAGCCAGAGGCACCATCTAAAAGGAGATAGTTAGGCTCGGAGGACCAGTGGGCTCGAAGGATTATTTGAGGAGGAAGAAGTTTCATTCTGAGAGAATTATTGACTCACGATGGTGACAATTGCGTTGATGACGTCGGTGACGGTGGTGGGGAATGCTTTCCTTTCAGCGATTGCTTACGGAATGGATTTAGATAACCTGAAAAGTCGGGAACGTCATTCGAAGCCATGAAAACCCCGCGTTCCTTTGACGGCCAATCTTTCTGCTGACTGTGGCCGGCCATTAAACGGCACGATCAGCGCATCGGTCACAGCACAGACATTCCATACTATTTTTCAGCTATTTCGGATGCAATAAAAAATTGAAATATGATTACCTGAAGAAATTGTGGAGACTGACGAGAAGACCATCACTATTGGAGAAATTCGATGGAATCCGGTTAAGGGCAAATTAACTAAAATGGAAAATTAATTTTTCGGTAGTATAGCAGGCAGGAGAATATTCGACGAGGACAAGTCAATTGATGGGAAGGAAAAGCAAAACGTGGAGACAGAGAGAGGAAAATCCAGGCGTATCACGAAGAATTAGTGGAACATTCAAGGTTTTTTCAATCAAAATTTTTTCAAAAGGAGAAAAAAGAGGCTATTCTTAGAATTATTTACACACAGAAGTTGGAATCAATAAACTAATAAAGCGTGTATGAGTCCACGCCTTAATGAACAAGCCAGCAAAAGGTCCATCAATCTATAACGCCTTATAGGAGAGGTTGTTGACTTCAAAACCGCAAAATAGTTCCAGGTCCTCTTCCTCCTAGTTTTTTTTTCCAAAATTTCCACTCTCAGACAGATAGGTCATGACAATCCTTCGTGGCACATTCGCTTGACACTTGGAGTTAATACTACTTGGTCTCATTTCCTGGCATACAATCTTATATCTGTCTGTTTTTCAATAGGATAGCATCTCGGTCCAAGGCCAATAAGGAAGTCCACCCACCCTGTCCATTGTTGTTCAAGGTGATCTTCTAGAATTGCTGGTTCTTTGGTATACGAACTTTGTTGGTGATTCACATGCACGGTAGTGCGCCACATTTGTGATTGCCCAAGGGGCGTTCACATGACTTCTGCCTGGGTTGTGCCTTTGAGGACTGCTGCCCTGCGTTACGTGCTGAAGAGTCAAGTCGGTGGGAAAGAGTGTGAAAGCTGGTGCGTGCAAATGGGTACGGAAGGTGTTGAGGAAAGAAGCGAAGCGCCTTCGAGTTCAACCGATAGCAGCAGTTTGCGTATCAGTTTGCGAGCCGTGACCTTATCAGAGGCGAAAGGACGGGAGGTGAAATCGAACCAAAGGCGACACACCGTGACATGATCAGAGTTCGTGAGATCGAAAGGTAGAATAGCCGAAAAAGTCGTCTGGCGCCACTTCGGCGGCTTACTGGACAAAGTGCTGGTCACTGATGGTGCATTCGCAGTGTCTTTCGAGTATGCCTATTTGGAATTGACCTTAATGAAGTCCCATAGGAAGATGGTAAATGAAATGGTAACAGAAAGACTTGGTAAAGGGTAGCGCGGGTCTTTCCGGCTTCCGAAAAGTTCTATATGGATCAATACATATAATTCACAGGTTAACGCCGACGCTTATGTCGCTTCACATGGATCAGACAGTCAGTAATGATCAATTGAAGATCAGTAGCAGGTAATATGAGCCGACACCGGGATAATTTATCTCGGCTGTGAAATGGGACACAAATAAATGCTGAACCCAAGGTGCTCTGTCCGGGGTTAAGGAGACCACCTCCCGATGGTATTCTGCATCAGCCCTTCACCATCATCAGAGAGCGATCGGGTGCTGGATGCCGGGAAGTTGGTGAGATTTATGACCCGCTCACAGCATCTCCAATTCATCCTCAACAGAGCGCCAGGAATTTATCACAACGGAAGAGGAAATGGAGGTCAGACGACCTGTCAGGCCACAGACAAGGGACATGTCTGATGATCTGGTAAGGTGTAAAGTAGGCGGACCTTTGCCGATAGTGCGGTCTATTTTTGGTAACCATTGTGCCCGATTTGGTACACGTGATGCGTTCCTACCGAGGGAGGAACAAAGCATCCAGGGAACGACCGATGACTGCGTCATAATTTCAAGCCACACCCTCAAATTCCTAAACAGAAGTACAAATCAGAAGACCAGAGAACCACTTGAGGCTTACGTCGGAATGCTAAACGAGAGCAGTGAACAGTTTACGGTGATCTTCCCGGGCAGATAAGGGTTTTCTGCTGAAATTTAGTCATCAACTACGAGTCGATTTCGGGCTGTTTTGCACTTTTCAAAGAACGTTCATTTTCAATCTGGTCTTTGGGGAAAATTGGCCGTTGATGGGGTCAGAAGCACACAGTCTAGTATAATGGAGAGGTCGACTGTAGCCCCTGTGGAGGGCTCTAAGGCAAGCGACGAGCCACAGTCCTCTCGGAGCTTCTTCTTTGACTGAGTACTGGGTAGTTCTGAAAATAGAGAACGAATTGATGACAGACGACCCATCAGGCCACACACGCATAAGATAGATGTCCGAGAATGTGTAAAGTACGATAGGGCGATCCATATTTGTTAACCATTTTTGAAGAGCCATCATGATACAGACCTTCGTTCATTCATTTCAGTTCAACAAGCCAATAAGCTGCTGAGAGTTGAACAGTAGAGTTCAGTAAACAAAACAAAAATTGGTGGTAAACAAGTTTTCTTGTATAAGCCACGGATTGGAATTTCATTGGCAATATTACAAAGGATGAAAGCATTTGCCGTTGATCAATCCCTTTTTGGGATGCGGCACGCATTCTACTTCCATTTGTACATTCGTAGTGGCGTTTGAATGCGATGTGGCCTATACAATGACTTGCGGGGGCCAGCCGATGTACAAGTCAGTGTTTTTATCCTCCCAGACAAGTCTGGTACCAATTAACCGACCCCGGAGGGATGGAAGGCTTGGTTGGCCCGGGCGACTCACGACCCAGGATTTGATCCCCGGACCGCTCGCGTGGTAAGCGTGCCACTTGCCACTACACCACTTCCGCCCTCTTGAAATGATTAGTGACAAGCAAATGGTATTTGACATATTGGGTGGTTCAGTGAGAGCCAGTTTCACTTTATTTGGCTATTTATTCCACAGTCAATTGAATAATAGCTTGGTAAATATGGTTCTATGAATTCAT